TGTGTTTTTACGATTTTTCTTAATGAAATGTATGGAAAATAAAAGATAGAATTATCCTACGAATAATTGGAACAATTAGATTCGAAAGGACGAAAAGAGAAGAGAATCCGGAAGAATCAATTTCGTTCCCTCGAAACAAGTGGGCGATTGCCGCGTTGGAGAACGAAAGAAAATAAGGAGGGAAATGATGGATGCGGAGGAACAAATATGGACTCTTACCAGGAGGAGAGCCACGATCTGTGTATTCACTCGAAGCGGTGACTGTACGTGCGGAAGATATAAACGATGCCACAGAGCAGAGACCATCAATAACTTCTCCTTCATCTGTTCCCAGCCTTTTCCCTTTGTACAGGAAGTACCGTCTCCGCCTAGGTAAACCGTTGTCCTTCGTTCTCGTATTTTACAACGCTCTCGCTACACACGGTTTTTGAACCGCGCCTCGTCCTTCTACGCCCTTATCGCCCTCCTGCATTCGAGATCACGCGTGGAATTTTGATGAACCACCGTTGATACTCATTATGCGAAAGTAGTTGTCGATAAGAAGAAAGAAGAAAAAAGAAAAAAAATCACGATGTGCTTGAATTTGAAGCGATTTTCGCGAAATTTAAATAATCGTACACTGGAATGAGACAAATATTGCACGATTATTTCGTCGTAAAAAAGGAAAAATAAAAAAATTTTCGTCAAATGTCGTCAAAACTAATTAAAAATGTATAATCCAACGATATTTTCGTTTTATTTTGTTGATTTGGTTAAAATTGTTCCGGTTTTGAAAGGGTTCGAGCTTCGCGTGTAAACGACGCAAACTTTATACGCAACAGTTTCACAATACGTGTTCCCTTCCTTTATGGCACTACGTCATTAAATTCCAGGAACTCGTTACATTGTACTTCACAGTTTACAATTTCGCTCAAAATTGTGTTTCCCTCGAATTAAGAATTCTTCTGGCGTCTATCTACGTGTAAACTACGCGCGTAACTTTAAAAAAAAAAAAAATGGATATTCGTGTAACAGCAAATCAAAAAAAAAAATTCCTTCTAGTTGGATTTTTAAAAATTTCAAAATATTCCCCATCCGAATGTCCATTTCTTACCTAACCTTAGCTTTCCACCGCTTTCTATAATCCACCATCGACGTACCGTCGATAAAGAACACACAAAAATGCCTTTATACGTTCCTCTATGAAAATCATTTCTACGTCTCTCACGTAGAGGTTGCCGCCGCGGCAACGTGAAAACATGAAAAATTCAAGGAGAGAAAAAGAGTGAGAGAGAGAGAGAGAAAGAGAGAGAGCGAAAAAGTGTTTGGGGCCCTGAAAATTTGTTCCAGGCGTGGCGTTCGTCTCTTCAATTATTTTTTCCTTGGTGGGTCTCTGGTGGTGGACGCGGGTGGACGGAAAGAAAGGGAGAAAGGTCGTTGGAAAATCGATGAAAATGGTGGCCGATCGTCCAATAACGGCGGCTCAAACGAGTTATTTACGGTGCACGATGCGTGTATAGTCGCGGGTATACAAATATTTTCCGGGGGTTTGGGTATCCCTCGATATAAAAATATTTTATGTCGCGGATCCATGATGCGGATGCGCCAGCTTATAAACATTATGCATACCGAAGCGCACACGTACACGTACTAGCATACTGTAGGGGCAGGCTGTATAAAGCATACGTGACCTCACGTCCCTCGTAAGGTTCCAGGTGAGAATACGTCTCGTATTCCGGTGCAATCATAATTTTTCGACGAAAGAATTCGTCGAAATATAACACGTTCTGTTTCACGTTCGTGGAATATAGAATATTCGTGCTCGATTTATTATAATCGATATGTTGAAAAATTTCTTTCTTTTATCAATTTAGGATACGCTCGATGTTATTAAAGCTCATAGACTTACGTTTAACGAACGTCTATTACGCGAATGAATAGGATCGAAACGTAGGAATAACGTGGGATTTTCACGGATGGTGTTCAATTGATCGAAGGGGAATTATTGAATTTGAAACGATACTCGATTTCATACGGATATGAGATATACATCAAATAAGAAGTAATTTAATCTTTGTATTTTTCTGAGCGAGAAAAAGTATTGTGGAAATGTATAAATGTTAAGTTATTAAATATAAAGTACAAAGTATACAGAGACAAGGAAGAGTAGTAATAATAAGAAGGAAGATTGCAAACACAGCCAGTAAACAGGCACAACGGTAAAATATTCCAGACGAAAGAAATGGCGCTTTGAAGATATAAGGTATGCACGGTATAATGAAACCTGACTGATCTCGAGATGTTATTCATGCTTCGAATAATTCCTCGAAACAGTATACAAATTTATAAATATTGTTCATAATTATCCACAATGAAATATATATTTTATGAATAACATATTTGCTAAAAAAAAAAATAAAGAAATAATGATATAATTTAAAATTTGTATTTAATCAAATTATTGGCACAAAACTATTATATTATTAATATTACGTATTGACAAAATTAATATTCTATAGCAGTAAGCCTTTTAACGGTATATACGCATCAAAATGGTTTGATAACGATTGTAATTGGAAATCCATGGCTGACTGTCGAATGATTCGCGGTTTAAGTCGAACAATATCTCGAAATCGCTTGAAAGTTCGAAAGCAGACTTCGCGCGGCAGAAACGACCAACTTTCCGGCGGATTTTTCTGCGAACGGGAAGTACGGCTGTGAGCCATTAAAAGTTCCATGTTGCTGAACGAATTCGATGAACGAAACTTCATCTCGGCTTCGAAAAGGACCGAAGTGGCCAATAATTATGATTTATTTCCTTTTAGTCGTGACGTGCTACCGTGTTAATCGAGACAACGCTGCGATAATACTTCGTTTCCGCGGTTGAATTAATTATCGAACTATTTCTGAGAACAAGAAACGATCAAATCATACGTTTTCATGATGAATCGCGAGAAAATGTTCAAACTCTCGACGCTTGAACAATTTGTTTGTACCGATTTGATATTTTTTTTGTGTATGTAGTATAAATGTGATTTGTAAAAATGTGATTTGAAAATATTAAAAAGTGTATTAAAATATCATTAGCGTGATGATAAAGACGAAAAGATCAATAAAATTAGATATATTTTGGAAATATTTATTAAGTAATTTTCTTTTTCTAGAAAAAAACGTGAAATTAATTTTTCCAATAAAAAATTATTTATATATTTTTACATGATGAAATTTAAGGTTATGCGTGAGAAGTTGTTGGTGAGAAATGGCGTACTCTGTCGACAGTTATTGAAACTAAGTACTATAAGATGTAATGTCTTACACACGTCGGTATTATAGGCAATCATTTTCTTAAATTAAAAAAATTTTTCTAATCCGCTTTATCATTATCGAAATAATTAAAATATTATAGTTATAAATTTTTATAATATTATAAAAATTCCTAAATTAAAATATAAAAATAATGAAAAAAAAAAAAAACTGATCCTTACAATTTACAATAAAACTTATAATTTTAATATACATTATAAAAATATTTTATTCCATTTTTTTTAACAAATAATGATATTTTCCACCATTACTTTGATTCTCCATACTTTCATCCTACATTCATTAGATCGAAGATTTACTGTTCTTAGCAACGAGCTGCAATATCTCTGACACCCTGATAAATTTAAATGATATTTATGACTTATCCGGTTTAATGAGGATGCTATTTCTTTATATACTCGACTCGTATAAATTTCATTGATTTAAGGAGGTTTAACAAGGCAAACTTGATAAGGCAAAAAATTTACATAATTATATTTAGGAAAGAATCTTATAATAAGACGATTTTTCTCTATATATCTTTCTCTATATAATCTTCGTATATCGAATATCTAATGCAATTTTGTTCTACCTTACGTGTCATCGTTACAAGCGAAAAGAGAGGGATCAACAGATCTCGTATGACTTCCCGTATATTCTTCACCCTCAACACAAGAAAGAGGCGATGCGTGGAAGCCCACTTTACTTGTAAGGTTTAAACAACAACTTCAAAAATAAGGAAACGCTAGATGTAGAAAATCTTCTTATTCCTCAATCTTCCATCCTGTCGAATAACTATTGAATTTATTCTTATAAAAATATCATCACAATCCACGCAATTAAAGAAGATCCCGTACGAAATTCTTCTTACTCTCAGTCTTCAACATCTTCAAAAATACCTAAAAATCTATTTTTTTTAAAAAACGATTGTTACAATCCACGATATTTATGTTAATACCAACGAAAATTTCCTAATTTTCGAATATCCACGAACGATTTTATTTCCATCGTTCGCGAACACGGTTCAAAACAGGCGTGTTCGAAGTTTCGAAGCGAAGAAGCGGGGAAGCAAGCAAACGGTGAAAACTAGTAAGAAGGCATAAAATCGCAAAGAGAAATTCAACGACCCCCGCGGATACGTGTATAACGCAAGATAACGCGGGGTGTCGCAAGAGACGTCGCTATTTTATGCTTGAGAAATGTTGCTGCAGACTGAAACGTAACAAGCTGCTTTGATCTTTCTGACCTGGCCGTACCTTCTACCAAGTACCGTATCATTATTCGGTAGACATTTTTATTCAACGTATATTCAAAGGTGGGGAGGGGGCGGGGGAAAGGAAGGAAAGTTTGAAATTACCATCCGTTTTGTAAATAACGACAGCCGACGGTGGTTAAACGGGGAAGAAAATTGTTGATATTATCGTATTCCCGATATTAATGTTTGATCATGCTTAAACTTGATATAAACCCATCCTACCTTGCAATTGTCGCTTACTTGCTACTTGTATTTTCTCACAGTGGTACATCTTTATACGATATGTATAATATTACGAAGGAAATGATGAGAGGAAAAGTTTCGTTTGAATTTTAAACTGGATCCTCTCGCGTACATTACAATTTAAATTTGAACACTTTATTTATCGCCTATATATTTTTCGAAATATACACGTAAGTTGATCGGTTTTATTATTATTATTATTATTATATTTTTTTTTCAGTGCGTGCAAATGGCGCACGCGTTGAGGCGCATCTCGTACGCAACCTGTGAACCTCAACACGCTCAATTCAGCTTCCTCGCCCGAGAGCCTAGAGCGCACTTCAGCATACAATATTGTCACTCTTTCATCACCGAATCTGCAGAACAGGTTAGTGCATTATTTTTCATTTTCCAACTCGGCTTCTACTTCTAAGATCTGCGATTATCGTAAAAATTACGATATCATCTTCCTCTTTCCCTTCGTATCGAATTGGACACGTTGGTTAACAAAAAAAAAAAAGAAAAGAAAAAGAAAAAGAAAGGAAAAACAAAAGTTAAAGCGAAATAAAGAGAAATAATGTTTCTGCTCTGTCATTATATCTACGATTGACACGAGGTGCAATGACGCACTCCGGATGGGAAAAGAAACGGGAGGGGAAAGAAAAAAAAGAAGAAAAAAAAAAAAGAAGTCGCAAGTTGTCCTTGGTGATATTGCAATAGTGCATCGCCATCATCCAGGACAAATTGCACCGACACACGGAAAGGGTAGAAGCGCGTGTAGGATATTACTCGTCGTAAAAGATCTATGCGAATAAATCGTTCGTCGTAACTTCTTCGCCGTAAGTAAATCCATAATTCAAAAATCAAACATCGTTCTTTTAATGAATTTGTCTTTGAAAAAGAAAAAAAAAACCCATAATCGATCGTTTGAATTGATCATTTTTTGGAATCGCACGCTGTTCGAATTAATTTTTTTTTTCTTTTAGAAAAATAATACTAAAAATTCACGAAACGTATTTAAACGAATTCAATGCCTTGCACACGATACGTTAATTGTATCGTACGAGTACGCAACACTCTTTAATACTGTTCAACAAATCGTAACGCAATACGAATGGTAATTAGATTGCGCGGTTTCTAATATTAGTGATCTATTTATATTTTTAAGAAGGGAGAATATATCGTGTAATATTTTAAAAATAATCTACGAGTAGAAATTGGATAATGATTCATTATGTAAATGCGTGGATAATAAATAATTATAACGAAACGTATATAAATAATAATTAGCTTAGTCGATCGATTAGATTTAATCGCGAATAATGCGTGGCAATGACTTCTTTATATGTTATAAATGAGTAATTTAATAAAGGAAACGATTAAAAAAAGAGAAAGAAACGAACCAGTTTGAGATTATTCGTAATGAAAATTGTGGGGAATGACGGTGGATGGAATGTGAAGAAGACAAGGATCGAGTTTAATTATTATACTCTATCTCTCGTGTACTTATTATTATACCGGCACAATCTATCTGCGAAAGAGGATACAGTCCTATTCAAGTTCTACAAAGTGGCGAAGCCTCGTCGAAACGTAAAAGGAGTACTTAGACTTAGAGGATACTCTTTGCACGAAACTACTTTAAATCGTTGGTTCAAGTTCCGGTATTGCGATTTTATGTCTATGATCGTGCTAGTATTTTTATATATATATACCGATTGCTCTTTTTAATCCCTTTCGTCTCCTCCATGTAGAGGAATGTTGTTCGTAAGATTTATTAAATACGAATAAATTCAATAGGTCCAATATCAAGCATATTACATTTCTTATTTTGCTTTTAATTCTATTTTCTCTTCTTTCGAAGATCTTTTATCTATTGAAAAAAAAAAAAAAATAGAAACGTGGTATAAATTGATAATTTTTCTACCCAATCTAGTAAATTCAATCAACAAAAAGCTTTGAGACGTGAAAAATTTTCAAAAAAGAAGAAAAATGTCGGAAACGAAATTTGAATTTTCACGAAAGATTGAAAACTTAGCTACGAGATTTATTCCTTGAATAATTATGGAATTAAAAATTAATCTCATACTAGATCGATAATAAATATTACTGACTGATGTGTAGCGTAACAACAACGATTCAGCAATACAAGAATCGTTGTACGCTACGTGACCAAAGAAGCAGAAAGCTAACCACGAACGAATCAAAAAAGGAAAAAGGAGGGGCAAAATATAGCTATAAAGACAATAGTCCTGTTTACAGCTCATTGCATTGTCGTGCCGCCATTAGCGTTGCCATTCTGAGTGGTAAGTCTACTCGACACATCGCAGAAATACACGAGGCAGCCATCCTGCAACCCCATCCGGAACTCGAAGAGTTCCTCTTCTTCCCTTTCTCTCTCTCTCTCTCTTCCATTGCACCATAGTTGAACGTGCATAAGCGGCAATTATGCAAACCGAGGCTCTTCCATAAACCGTCACTACCGACGATTAAACAGAAGTGTCGATCATTGACCGTTGTCCTCGAAACAGTGATTTCGATTGATCTTTCGATTGAATTCTCTCTGCGCTTAATTAACGCCTGGTTTAAAATTTCATTTCGACTTACGCACGTGTACATAAAATGTATATATAATCGCCCTCTTTTGTACACGTAATATACTTTCACGTAATAATCGAGGCTCATTTGTATTCAGTCACAATGGGAGCATAATGTTCCTTAATTGAAGCAATAGCTTCGCGAAGAAAATTAATTCTATTCATACGAATTCGAATTTAAGGGATACGTACGTTTTCGATCTTATTCTTCTTATATTTATAATTTATATAATTAATAATTTTTGTCTGTACGATAGGGTTACTAATCCTTTTTTATTTATATTGTAATTTTGAAAAATTTAACTGTAATTTTTTTTTTTTTCGTATTCATAAAAATGATCCTTTTGACAATGTGTATTGTATTATTATTCGTCATTGTGATATTGTACAACAATATCGATTTTGAAAACTGAATGAAACAAATTTCGAGCAGGATGTATTTTATAATATAAGAGATATCCAAGAGGTATTTAATCACTTAATAATAAAAAGAAGAAGAAAAATTATAAAATAATAATCCCTGAAGGCTTCTTAAATAAAAACATGAATTCATTTCATCTCAATTTTCTTAAATTTTTCAAATTTTTCTAACCCGTTCTACGTAAAAATCGTAAAATTTCTCTTCACATATTGAATTACTCCAAGTTTCCGTGATTTGTTCTCGAGATATTCAAAATGGCTGGACGTTTTCGAATGCGTGCTCGAGTACAATTTTCTAATCTATTTTTCTGGAAAGCAACGTTTCCAGATACTTCGTGTTGGTAAATACCAACATCGTAAAAATAAGTTACGAAACCATGTTGTACAAGCTGCACGTACACAGCAAATTTCAAATTAGATTCCCCCGTAGATAAGATCTCGCGAAGAGAAAATTTATTCTATGATTTCCATATACATCCATTATGTCTCTTCGTTCATTTCTGCGTTCAAGTTTTCTAAAATATAAATATTTATATTATAATATTTCTCGTTCCCAATTTCATTTTATTCCGATAAAATATTACGATGGTAGATAAAGTAATCGAAATTCAATAAAAACTTAACGTCTTTCCAGTGAATAATATATAAATATTACATTCATTAAGAATCAATGTGACAATCATCTAAAAAATCGTTGCAACCATAAATAATTGCAAAACGAAATCTTATTCACCGAAGAAAGTTTCTTTCAACCGAAACTTTCCAATTGAAATTATAATGGAAGGAACAGTAATACCATCCAATTCCTTTCTAAGAATAAAACAAGAAACTATCCGTCGTCCACAGGATTCCGCAAGAATCGCTAATTACAAAATTAATACCGAAGTATCGATAATTAATTCTTTCCAGGTGAACTGAAAAAAAAAAAAAAAAAGAAAGAAAAAAAAATATTCAAATTAATATTATTTTCGCTAGACAGTTTCGCTCGAGAGAAGATGCGGAGACGGTCTTTCGTTGAATTTTAATTGGTTAATTAATTAGTAACGAGAAACTGCTTTCAGCCAGGATAAATAAACGAACGATCCTTCCAGTTGGAAATTGCCTTTTCGTTCCGTTCGATAAACAAATAGATCCTCGCGAGCGAATTAACGCGACGAATTTTCCTTCGCAAACTGTCTCGAAGACGCGTAAAAAATTATCGCGGACCTTCTTTGTTTTTGGTTTTTCTTTTTTTCTTTTCTCCTTTTTCGCGAGAGAAGTAATTTGTCCGGGCGAAGAAGGAGGAAACAAGCCCCCATTAAAACTTCTCGAAAGTGTAACAAACGTTCTTGCTAATTAGATGTCCTCCCGTGTATTTCCTTGTTCGTCAGGGGGCGCCATATTTTCAGCGCGATTTGTACGTGGCGGCAATTAGAAGGAACAAGGCGCATAACAGAGGCGGCGTATCCATTTTGCCACCATGTTGTCTCCTCGCGTCTTACGAGGAGAAAGAGAGAGAGAGAGAGAGAGAGGAGCCATTCCGTTCTTGTAATTTCAGTCGGTTCACGTGCCACGGACAAATTACTTTTCACCGTGATGATGCTTACGGAGTTTAATGAAAACGTGCACGATGCGTGGCAACAAGTATCTTTTACCTTTAATCCCGACTAATTGTTCCACGTTTCGCGTTTCAATTATGGGGGAAAAATTGATCGTTAAAAGCTGATTTTAATCTCCTTTTTTATTTTTTTTCAATGTTTGATTTAGACAGAATTTTATTTTTAAATTTCTCGTAAATAAGAGATCGCGATAGAGAGTGAAAGAAGATCTCGAAGATGTTATAATCTCCATTTACGTAAATGATATTGCGAGTCTCAAACGATATTTGATTGAAAAGATTATAATTGGGATATCGCGATCGATCGCGATTAGATTTTTATTCGATTTGCGAAACAAGGGCAAATTGGAGCACACTTGTTGGCGGAACGTTAAAGCGTGTTAAACGATGATTAAAACCGATGGTTAAGAGCGTCATACACGATTCTATCGCAATTAAGGCGCCTCTGAAATCAGATAGCGCGGTTAATGAATCCTCCTTCTTAACGAAGGATGATAATTCGTGCAAGGGATCCCACAATGCTTATCTCGCCGATAATGATCTTGACATTTTCTTTCGACTATTACATCCTTGCGCGTAATACGTCTGTACACTGTGGGACGCTTCCGTCGTTATCCGCTATCGGATCCTCAATCTTCATTACATCCTCGATTATCTGGATCAGCCTTGATTTTCGAAATCTCTAATCCTGTCTTTCGAATACCACTACCGTGATAAAATCGTCCTTACAGCGTGCTTGCATCTACGTTTCGCTAATGTAAAATGTGAAATGGGATG